AAAACCTTGATTTCTCAATATCCATTAGAGTTCTGCCATAAGTTCTTCATCAAAGTTGGTTAATTTCTCAGGGGCTTCGTTGTGCGCAGTGAAAATCGAGTTTCGACACCGTTGATTTTAGGGGTTTCATCTCATTTCTTCTTCAAACCTTGAGGTAGGGATTTTCTTAGAATTATATATATATATTTTTGCAAGATCTATATGATTTTCGAAATCATCTTTCGATAGCTTTGAAAATTGATTGTTGATTCAAAAAGTTGAACGATTTTGAAAGTGGGTTTCTCTTGTTCTTTTAAATTGATCTTATGGGTTTTGATCTTCATTGATTGAAGAAAAGATGATTTTGGAAAGTTTTCTTTCAAAGGATTTGAGTTGTATAGTTTTTGTGAGAAAACCTAGAATTTGGAGATTTTTTAAAAGAGACTGAAAATCCATGAATGATATTGTTATATTTATTTTGTGTGTCAAAATAAATGGATGTTTGGAAAATTTCTTTTTTATATTTATATAAATGATGAATTTCAGGGAATATGAGAATTGTTGTTCATTTTGAAAATTTTTGTTCTAAACGTTCAAATAGTCTTGAAATGACTAATTGTTGAGGATACTTGAGAAGATGGAATTGTGTTATTCCTTGGATGATGAATTGGAATAAAAGTATTTATATTCATCTTGTGTAATTGGCATATCAATTCATTTAATTACATTAAACTTTGAAAGCTGATAAACAAGTTTTCATGGAATGATTTTGGGGTAAATACGTTGGTAAGTCTTGATAGGTGGTGTAGATGATATTGAATAAGTTGGCCTGAGAGTCCACGGTGAAAGACCACAAACCCGCACGGATAGCTGTCGAGCCTTCCGGTTAATACCGGTAAAAATGACAAATTGGTAGTACTTGTATAGTCTACTTGCAGACACCGACATAGGGATTACCAGAGTCGTATTTTCCACCCTTGAAATAAATCGTTAAGTTTTGAACAATTGAAATTGCATTATATCATTGAGCATGATGGTTTTCAAAAGATGAAAATGTGATTTATCTTCAAAAAGGGCATAGCATGGCATGTGCATTTCATTTATTCAGACTTGTATAAAATGTATATGCTTTGTTAAGAATTTTCTACTAGGCTTTATGCTCACCGTACGGGATTTTTGTGCAGGAAAAGATATGGTAATCCCACCCAACTAGGGGCGTGGAAGCATGTGTGTTGGGAGTACAATGCTCTCATTTTGTTGTAACTCTATGTGTAAGCCAAGGGCTATGTTTGTGTGGGTTTGAATAACCGTTTTGTGTAACCAGGCTCAAGCCTTGAAAACTTGTAAACCCTTGGGGGAATTTATTTGTTTATTTACTTCTTGTTGGGTTAATGTATTGTTGCATAAAAAACTATTGTATCATGTAATATAAGTTTGGAGATTTATATTCTGTTTTCGTTGAAAGAGCCATGATTGTTGTCTTATCATTTGGGCTAGAAATTTGGGGCGTTACAGATTTATTCTACACATAGACACTTCACAAATTCAATCTCAATCATACACTCTCATTCAGAGTAAATTTGAAATAACTAACTGGGGTTGCTAGAATTATTCAAAAACTAATCATCTTCTAATTGATTTAGAAAGCAGAAATGTATGGCTTTATTAATTTGGAAAATTAGTTTTTGTTAAAATATTTCATTGGGTTAAAAATATTATTGATCTAGAAAGTTTGAGAGAAGTTTTTAGTATTCGTAATTTTAATTTGAACAATTTAATTCCTACATTTTCAATTTTGTTGCAATGTGGTCATTAGGTCATGCGTTATTAATATTTTAAAGGAGAAATTAGAAAAAAAAAATCTTAGAGTTTGAGCTTTGCAACAAAATAATTTATGATTTTTTTTTTGTTAATTTAAACTATTTATCTATTTTTGTCAAGAAAAAGAAAAATGGGTATTTTAGTCATTAAACTTAACAAAAACAAAAATGTTATTTTTCACATTTTATGTATATCTACATTAAATTTAATGACTAAAATATTTTTTTCCGTCAGTTTTACTTAACGAAAATAAGCAATTGATTTAGATTAAAATAAATTAAAAAATGATTTAAATTGATAAAATTGAATAGTCATGGTTTATTTTGTTACAAGACTCAAATCTTATGCTTTTTTTTTTTTGGGTGTAATTATCCCTACTTTAAATGAAAAATATGACAAGCAAAATGAGATGAACTAAAGTGAAATTCAAAACAAAGTAGAAGAATCAATATTACACTTGTGGTTCATGTTGTTGGTTTTGAATGTCACTTTAGTTCATCTAATTCTACACAGATAAATCATAGTACAACAAAATTAAAATATGGAGTCTAAATAAAAACTACAATAATTAAAATGACAATTCACTTAAATTACAAATACTAATGATATAATTTATTTTGTTTCAATTCGAATCGGTTGGTTTTTAAGTCACATGACGACGTCAGGCCCCACTTTTACTAGTTGCTTGAGCAAGATGGTTTGAAAAGAAATGGGGACAATATCATGTGGTGTTTTAACTTGTTATTTATTGATTAAAATAATGTGATATAATATTTTTTGTTATATTTTTGAGAAGGGTAAATTATAAATACATCTCCTAAGGTTTGATTAAAATATGAATAGTCTTTGTGGTTTTAGAAATTACATTCCATCCCCTGAGGTTTCTAATTTCATAATAAATTGACCCTTTTATTAATAAATCATCAAGTCAATTAACAGTTTTTAATGATGTTAGAAATATGTTTCAATTAATAATTGAGATAATTTTATTATTGCATAGGAAAACAATTATGAATTTCACTTTTTTAGTTAATTTTGTTAAATAAAAAATTTTACGAAGGGGATATTTGTAATTTTCCAAACTACGGGAGACAATTTGTACTTTAAGAAAACCTTAGGGGTTGTATTTGTAATTTACCATTTTAAAAAATAACTTGGCAAATATCAAGTAATTAATGGTGCGAAACAATACTCTAAGACCACCAAATAATCACTCTAATTTGGAACAAACAACACCACTCTTGAATAGAGACTACCAATTCCTCTACAGTCACTCTCTCCATGACCAAAAATAACAAGGCAAATTACACTAGTTGTCAGAAGTAATATTTATAAAAAATAAAAAATATTAATAATATTAAAAATTAAAAATTACAATTTTTTTCATTAATGTATAATTATTTTTAAAAATTCCCCTGAATAGTAATTTATCCTAATAGCAATTCTACGTAAGGTCACTTTCTTTATATTTGCTAGTTAATGATTTCCTTATTTTTGGCTTCCGTAATTTTTTTTATTATTTAGAAATTATAGAAAAATGGTAACAAATGCAAAATATTTCAAAAAATGAGAATCTAAAATATTTACACTTGACATGAAAATTTAAAGAATACTAACAATTACATTATTATTGTCCTCTAACTCTTTCCATTTTCCTTATTTTTTTATGTACTCACTGTAAACCTTAATCTCGTGCCAACCATTCCTTCATCCTCCTCCACCTCTGTCCTTACCCTCTCTCTTTCTCCTCACTCTTCTCACTCTCCTCTCTTTTCGCTCTCTTCATTCTCTGCAAACCCTAACTTGTGTCACCAGCATCCCCTCCCCAAGTACCACCAACAATTCCCACAATCTCCTCCCTCATTTGTCTCTCCCTCGCATTTTTCCCCTTTTCTCTCCTTTTCCATCTACAAACCCTAACCTGAGGCTGGAGAAATGGTTAACGGCGATAGGACAAGTGTAGAAGGAGATGCCAATGCTGGAATATGACTTATAGAGAGTAAGAAAGAAAGGGCAAGAGAGAGGAGCTAGAAGGAAATAATGTAATTTTTAGAATGCTTTCTTATTTTGGAAGATTGATTAATAAGTCCCATATTTTGGACTTGCAATTCATAGTCCCATATTTTTTTTGATGATCCATTTAGTCTTTTTGGATGTGTAATGACTAATTTACTTGTCACATTAGAGTGTTACATTTGGAAAAAGTACACTAAGTAATTTTTTAGTGTCACGTCATACCTACTGCGTTGGAGTGTCACATTTGAAAAAAGTACACTAAGGAGTTTTTTTGTGTCACATCATATCCGCTACGTTGGAGTGTCACATGTCACGTTTGGAAAAAATACACTACGGAGTTTAATATTTTTTTTTAGAGTGTTACATCATACCTGTCTCGTTGTCACGTTTGGGAAAAGTACACTAAGGAGTCTTTACTTTCTTTTTTTTTTGGAGTGTCTCATCGTTGAAGTATCACATTAATACCTGCCACATTGGAGTATCACATCATACCTGTCACATTTAGCTGTCTACCAAAATGCTACCAAAATAAAAAAAATAGAACTACACGGAAAGAAACTCTCCACTAATAAGACTTAACAAATCAATAAAAAAACTTGGGACTAATTGGATTACTTGTTTGTGAGATGTGATTTATTAATAAATGTCCCTTCAATTTTTAAGTTTTTATGTAAATTGCAAATATTTTAGATTCTTACTTGTTTGACAGTTGTTTGCATTTGTTATCATTTTTTTTGCAATTTGCCCTTTTTTCTTAGTATATTTTTATCTCTAGGGAATTTTTTTCAATTTTGTAAGAAAATCTTGTAATGCACCATAAACATACATAAGAAATCATAGCATGTCGTAATGTAAACATTTACTCTTAAAAAACCTTAAGCTATGGCATAATAAAATTATAAAATTTCATAGTCGATTCACAAAAATGTGCCTTGTACTCTAAAATAATTAACCGATTTAGACATAAGTTGTAATAAGTGTGTAAAATATTCAAGGGTCTACATTTTTTTTTTTTTTGATCAGCAAAATAATAGCTTTATTGGTGAGAAAAAGCATAGAACATGCAAAAACATCAACAAGGCAGGGCAATGCAAGGGCATTGGTGAGAGACCAATCCAGAGCAAAGAACCCACAGAACAAGACAAAGCAGAGAGCTTCGAATTGATCAACAAAGAAAAATCAACTCAAGAGCAAACAGTAGCAGCAGATGCATATCTCAGATGCATAACAGCATTGAACATTGAAGTAAAATGCAACATCTGAGATGCATATCTCAGATGCATAACAGCAACCATTAGAACAATGAAGTAAAGTGCACCTCAAGAGCAAACAGTAGCAGCAGATGCATATCTCAGATGCATAACAGCACCTGACTCAGGTTCTCCACTATGTGATGCACTGAGTAATGGACAGAAGGCAATGAAGCTCGAACCCACAACCCCACCCTCACTTTTACTAACTCACCCAGCTCCAACATATCTGGTATATGACCCTTGAACACAATCTCATTCCTAAGCCTCCATGTTGACCACAACATTGCCACTGGAACCATCACCCAGATTTTTTTAACTAGTTTCCTATGCTTAGTTCCCAACCACCAAGAAAGAACTCCTTCCACTGTAGCAGGAGAGACCCAGTATAAATTCCACCACTGCAGCAACCTTCCCCAAACCTTCCATATTTCAGGACACTGCACAAACAGATGATCTACTGACTCTTCTGCTGCATAACAGAAAGGGCAGGCAACATTTGCATTACCCCCTAACACCCCTAATCTTTTCAGAACAACTGCAGACTTTACCCATCCTCTCCAAGCCAGCCAACACAAGAATTGGGCTTTAGGTGGTGCCAGATTATTCCAAAGCATCTTAGGAACCTGTAAGCTAGTTCCAGATTTTTTCTGCAGCCAAGATCTCACAGATGCCACTGTGAACACACCAGACGAGGATGCTGTCCACTTTACACCATCACACAGATTGTCATTCAACTTGGGGATATCCTTAGTTAACTGTTGCAGCTTTCCTACCTCCTCTACTTCCCAAGAAAACAGAGGTCTTCTGAACTGTAGACTCCAAGAACCATGACTATCCCTCCTCTGCATAAAGTAACTGAGCTTTTCTTCTTTCTCCATAGAAAGCCTAAATAACCTGGGAAATTCCTCTTTCAACTTCAAATTCATGCACCACCTATCTCCTTTTTTTTTTTTTTTTTTGGCTTTTTGACTAAAATATGAGGTAAAAAAAAAATAGTATGCTTGGAATGACTTTTTTAATTTTTTACGAAAAGATATGCAAATGGTGAGAGAAAAGAGAATCTTTAGCGTTTTGATATAGGTTATAGGCTTTTTGATTTTTTTAATAACTTTTTGACATTCAGACTATAACTATAACATGCCAAACGAGGCCTTAATATCATATAAATTTATTTTAGTTACATTTTTGTTGTCCGAAAGTTTAAAATTATCAATTGAATGTTTCTTTTATTGTGTTATAATTTAATATAAGTTAAAATTATTTTATATATATATATATATATAATTTATATTTTTATAGTACGATAGAACTAAAATTATTAAAATATACAAAAATAATTTATTTAAAATTATTATATGTTGATTGGAATAACACTTTTATAAAATGATACGACTAAAATTGTCAAAATAAATAAATAAAAAAAAATATTGTTTACCTTTAACTTTTTTCTCTCTTTTATGTGAGGCATCTCCCTTTTTTCTTTTTCTTTTCGATTAAAAGTCCATATCAATATACCCTTACCAAAATTCTTTCTAAAATTTAACATTAAGGCCAAGTTTGGGAAGTTTCAAAAAAGTTAAAAAGTCAAAAATTACTCAAAAAGTTAAAAAGTTATCACTATTCACCAAAAGTCAACAATTACGACTGCACAACTCCCAATACTAATTTTCCCCTACACATTAATTTATTTAATTTTTTAATACACATTTTCCCATAAAAAGTCAAAAAGTTAACCCAAACATTTATATTTTCAACCTCAACCTTTTTGTCTAAAAAGACAAAAAAATGTACTTATTTAGGACACCCCAAACAACCCCTAAATTACCTTTACATACTAAAAATATTTTACCAATTAATTTTATTCTACTTTTTTTTCACTTTTTTTGAAAATTAAATATTAAAAATATTTATTTTATGAAATGTATTATATATATATATATATATATATATTTATGTAAGTTACATTTTTATAACACGATAGAGATAAAAATTATTAAAAATGCATATAAATAATTTATTTAAAATTAATATATGTGTTAATTTAGGTAACATTTTTATGGAATGATACAACTAAAATTATTAAAATAAATAATTAGAATCATTATTTAAATTTTAAATTATTACTTCTTTTTTTCTCCAATTTAATGATTATTTTAAATATTTTATACATGCAAAAATATAAATAATTGAACTAAATTTTATTAGAAAAAACATTTTAAAATAAATATGTTTAGCTCGTGCATCACATGGTCATCTACAAGTGGTTTTAAAAAAAAAATACAAAGGGATGGCCAGGTTGATAACTTGGTAATTGATGCCACGTGTCCTTTAATTTCAAAATTGTAAATTTTAAAATATGATGCAAAACAAAAGCAAAAAGAATACAGTTTCCATATCATTGTGATGAATGATTCTGTAAAATAATGTTACATATCAAAGCTTTGAATACTGTAGTGCAAAATACTTGTGAAAAGTTGACTTCTTATTGAAGAAATCAGAGACCTAGTTTAAATAGGCTTACAAAAACAAATTAAACCGAAAATCAAGGAAAATAATATCCCACGAATACTAGCTAAGTCCCCAACAAATAGGGATTACTTGACAAAGCAAAACAAAAACAACGGCTAAATATCTAACACTTTCCCTTAAACTGAATGCTACTCAAGCAATCAGTTTACAAAGGAAATTGAACAGACTCCAAGAAAACCTCGTCGTTTCACAAATGCTTCCAGCTTCAATGGTTTGGTTAATATATTTGCGATCTAATCTCGACTCTGACAATACACCAGCTCAACCACTTCTTTTGTAAGGTCACGAAGAAAATGAAACCTGGCATCTATATGTTTGCTTCTTCCATGTAGCACTGGATTCTTGGAGAGTTTAATAGTTGAACTATTATCACAATAAATCAATGTTGGTCCAACCTGATTGCAATATAACTCTTTGAGAATTCTTCTTAACCAAACAACTTGGCAAGCACAAGAAGCAGCTACTATGAATTCAGCTTCAGTTGTGGATAAAGTGACGACATGCTGCTTCTTTGAGGACCATGAAACAGCTCCTGAACTCAACATAAAAACATAGCCATATGTACCCTTTCTATCTTCCAAATCCCCAGATGACTAAAACCAATTAATTTATTCCATTCCCCCTTCTTGTAAAACACTCCATAATCAACAGTACCTTTCAAGTATCGAAGTACTTTTTTTGCAGCTTGAAGATGAAGTTCAGTTGGAGCTTCCATGAATTTGCTGATGAGACTAACCACAAACATCATGTCTAGTCAAGTGGCTGATTAATCCATCAAGCTACCAATAATTTCTTTGTAATGAGTGCTGTCAACTCTTACTCCTTTTGTATCTCTTGTGAGCTTACAACCTAGAACAATTGGATTCTGAACAGGATTGCAATCAGTCATCCCAAACCTTTCTAAAACTTCTTGAGCATACTTTCTTTGGCCGATGAAAATTCTAGCTAGTGATTGTACCACCTCAATACCAAGAAAGTAACGCATCTTTCCTAGATCAGTCATATCAAACTCATCCATTATTGACTTTTTAAACTCAATAAACATTGTTTCATCATTTCCAGTGAATATCAAGTCATCTACATACACACAAACAATCAGACGGTTACCTCCCTCTCCAGATTTGACGTACAATGTATGCTCATAGGGACATTTTTGGAAGCCAGCACTTGAGAAGTAAGAATCTATACAACTGTACCAAGCTTGGGGTGCTTGTTTCAGTCCATATAGAGCCTTTTGCAGTCTATAAACTTTTTACTCATTCTCTTTATGTACATAACCTGGAGGTTGATCAATGAAGACTTGCTCATTCAACTCACCGTTAAGAAAAACGGATTTTACGTCAAGCTGATAAATGGACCAAGAATTTTGTGTTGCCAGTGAAACCACCAAACGAATGGCATCATGCCTTGCAACAGGTGCAAAAACTTCAACATAATCAACGCCATATTCTTGTGCATATCCTTTAGCCACTAGCCGAGCCTTAAGTTTGTCAACCTCTCCTTTCTCATTTAGCTTTGTTTTGTAGATCCATTTAACACCAATGGTTTTCTTTCTTTCAGGAAGATCAGTTAATTTCCAGGTATCATTCTTTTCAATTGCTTCTATCTCTGCATCCATGGCTTTCTTCCATTTTAAGTTCTTGACAGCTTCAGTAAATACTATAGGATCACTATCTGCAAATAGAGCAAGATGAGCAAAAGTTTCATCATCAGATAATTCATTCACACTTACATAGTCTGTCATCCAATAGGGTCTTTTTCTTGGACTTTGAACATTTTCACTTGAAGGTTCAATTTCAGCTGGCTGATTTAATGGAACATCTGATAAACTGTCTCCAACAGATTGTACTTCCTCTTCAGTGTTGTTTTCATCTTTTGCATCTAAATCAACTTAAGCAGATTTATTTCTTGTGATACTCTAATCCCAGTTACTGTCTTCATCAAACACCATGTCACAGCTAATGATTATTTTCTGAGTGAGTAGATTAAAAAATCTATACGCTTTGGATTCTTCACTGACACCGAGCAACACACATTTCACCCCTTTGTCATCAAGTTTGCTTCTCTTCTCATCAGGTACATGTGCATAGGCTAAGCATCCAAATATCTTGAAATGATCAACTATTGGTTTGTGCCCTGTCCATGCTTTCTCTGGTGTCATGGTCTTTATAGAAAGTGTAGGGCTTTCTATTCAACACATGAACGCTCTAGTTTACAACTTTAGGCCAAAAACTCTTAGGAATATTCTTCATTGCAATCATGTTTCACACCATATTTAGGGACATCCACCTTTCTATCCTGAATAACCTGTCTAACTCTCCGCCGTTTATCTGCTCTACCCAAGCCTCTGACATTCCAAGACATTATCTTCATTTATAACTATTTACTCCCCCAAATAAACCCCAAGCTTCTAGTCAATTAAGTTTGACCCAGCACACCACCTATCTCCTTTACCAATCGTTCTTCATCTTGTTGCTCCATCTGAACTATTCTTTGAATTACTTCAGCCTCTTTGCCTTCACAGGTCATCCCCAGTCGTGTACCAAGCTGCAGGATTTCTCGTGCTTCCTCCACTCTCTTCTTCCTCCTCCTACTCTCCTGACTTTCTTTAGACAGGGACTGAGATAGGACCGCTGCTGCTGCCCTAAAAACAGCTCCTCTATGAAACCCAGATGCTAACGATGCTTGGGTGCTTTGAGCTCTCCTTATCCCCCTTCCTCTGGTACCTCCAGCTCTGCCCATCTTCCTTCGAATACTACCATTTCTCACCCCCGATTCTAGTTTGTTGACTGTGGGCTGCACTGCCTTATTGCTTGGACCACCTAACACCCTTATTTGGCCCAGCTTGGGCTGGGGTCCAACACTATGAACTCTGCCAAACCCCCTTTTATTTATTGATGCCGCAGGCCCACTTTGATCACCTCTTACCTGATCCCCTTGTAGCACTACCTCAATATTAATACTCGGCCCAATTTCATCAGACCCACTAAGGCTTTTGACAAACCCAGGGGTCACTAGATCCTCTTTACCCACTCCTTCCCCAAACATTCTTCTTGAAGACTCCATCTGCAGCTGCACCTGCTCCTCTGCCAGACAGCGCACCCCATTGTTTGGTTTCTCCACCATTCCCTCGGTAACAAGCAAGCATGTTTCTGGCACCTGACTATCAGAACCTGCACCATTCATCTCACCCCTAGGCTGCACTGCGGCGGAGCTTCCATCTCTTGGTAACATGCTCTGTCTACATTGGTCCACCTCACCACTGCAAGCCACCTCATCATCCCTTACCTCAGTCCCTCTTGTCTTCGCTATGCTGCCTCTCTGATCTCCTCCAACATTTGAATATCTA